ACGCGACCTCCGTCAGTGTCAGCCACCCGGTCCGGGATGCGAACCGCGGTCGACTACGTGGGAGTCCAGCGACATAGCCATTACGGTAATTGCTGGTCCCAAAATATAAATATGGATATGATTAACTAATGAAAGAAAATCCACACCAAAACTCATGGGACATCACCAGGGCTACGTAATATATTAGTTTAACTTGCATACAACTTATTAAGGTAACTCTGGGTATTTTCTAATGAGGATTCACTAAATAAAGACCTTTTCCCCATGACTCATAAAAATCAACAAACTTGGGACCAGCAGTTGCGTAATGGCTATGTCGCTGGACTCCCATGTAGTTGACCATGGTTCAAGTCCCAGACCCAGTGGTTTAAGCTCACATCAGGCGTGTGTGCATGCATGCCCAAGATCCCAAGAGGAGAATGGAGGAGAAGGGATTGTGGTGTGGCCATCCCCCCTGGGCAATGATTTCTCGCTTTCTGTCTCTCTGTCTCTCTCTGTCTTTCTGGCAAGGGCACGCACCCTACAGCAAAAACCTCTCAAAAAGAAAAAAAAAAATCAACAAACTTTAGGGACTCCCTAATCCCTCTGAACTGGTATTTGAGACTGTGTATGTATGTGTACTGTTCTAGGAAAGAAGATTCTAACATTTTTTTTAGCTATTATTATAGTGAGAGTATATAAAATAAATAGAGGATTTCTAAACTAGACCTTAACATCAAAGACTGGCCAGGCTGCAGTGGCCTAGGTGTTGGAGCATTGCTGTGCAATACTGGAGTCACATGGGAGGTCTCAGGCTCAAATCCTAGGTAGACCTGAACATGCCACATATACCCACAGCACTCATGACCCTGGCTGGTTGGACAGTTGGAGGGGGACTATGGTATGGTGAGGCCCTGCAAGGGGTACCTTTCTCTATTTTTCTCTTATCTTTCTCTCTCTCTCAATAAGTAAATATTTTTTTAAAAAATTAAGAACTTTTTTTCACATAAACTTTGATTTAAAGTCCAGCTCTCTCATTTCCTGACTTGTTGATAATGTACTTAAAATAGCTTCAATGTCCCCTTTTACAACACAGAAAATTGTTACCTATTAGGATTGTTGTGAGAGTTAAGAGAATTATACATGATAAAGAATTTACTATATTGTCTGGAAAAAATAAGACTATGTATTAAGAAATCAAAAACAGTTACTGCTAAAACTTATGATTAGAGAAGAGTTAAAATGAGAAACTAAGGAGGACAAAGTGGAGTGGAAGAAGAAATGAAAGCAGAGGGCTTCATATAATGCGTAAAGTAAAGCAGGTGGTGGAAAGAGGTGGCATTCCCACAAGAGGTGTCGTAGCCTTTGCTGAGGGTCATAAGCTTTCTTTAGAATGAGAAAAAAAAAGAATCTGAAAGTGGCCTCTTAATATACTAAAATGATGGTGAAACTCTGTGTAATGAAACTTGGAGGACCTTCTAGAGCTGTAATATCCAATTAGCAATGTGATTGCTTTTATTAAATTGGCTAAAATTAAACAAAAATTTAAATATTATATTCCAATTGAGGCACATTTCAAGTACTCAGCCACTGCTGAGTGGCTACTGTACTGGGTGGCTACTGTACTAGGCAGCGCCAGGATCATGGAAAATTCTATCGGCTGTTGAAGAGGCAAAAATTGCTAAGAGTCAGATTTTAAGAGTCAGAAATCAAAATATGCAAAAAAAAATCAAACTATGCCTCCCCCCCCAAAAAAAAGTGAAGAAGAAGGTATTTTGGTGGTTCACAGAATCAAAGGAAATCTTTAGCAATTAGGATAGCCCTGGGGACCTTAGAACTTAGAAAGTAAAGACTCAACAAGACCTTGCTCTGCAAGTGTGTCAGCCTTGTCTCTTCCACTGATAACGGGCTTTCTCCATGTCAGTAAACACGATTACCAAGGTTTCAGACTCCTACTTCTTCAGCACTTGATGCCAAAGTCTTCTAGTCCTTTTTCTTTCCCTGTTAAATTCCTAGCAGGACTTTGGCGGCTTACTATAGATTTTCTGTCTACTCTTTGTCCCAATCACTCTGGCTGAGCAATTAAAGTACTCTGGTTTGCCCAGCCTTGACTATTTCCCATTCATGTCAATAGCATCAATACCACAAAAACAGGGGAGAATTATGTGTGGAATAAAGAAATGCTAACATAAACATCACCCCTGGCGGAAGTGTGGATGGGCCAGTTGCATGCTTCTGTGTTTTCTTTAATGACATACCATCAGATAAAATAAAGCTCCCCTAAAATCATACTCCAGGACTGACTTAATGATTGTCTTTCATCTTTTTTTATTTTTTTGAGAGAGATTTTTGCTGTAGGGTGTGTGCGTTCACTGGAGAGACAGAGACAGAAAGCAAAAAATCCACCCTCCTAGAGGATGGACACACTGCAATCCCTTCTCCTTCATTCTCCTCTCAGGATTTTGGGCATGCACACACAGGCACCCAGCATGAGTTTCAAGCCTCTGGGTCCAGAGAATCAAAACTTGGTCGGCCATGTGGGAGTCCAGTGACGTAACTATTAAGGCTTCTACTGGTCCCTTGTCTTCATGATTGTTATACTCATTTAGTATCTCTACTATATTTTCTATCAGCAATTATATAACATCCTTTTCAACCCATATTAATAAAAAACTTGGCCTCTTAATCTAGCAAACCCCACACGAAATAGTCATTTTATACCATTTATGGAATATCTACAAACTGTAAAAACAAACACAAATTACTGAATTCAAGCATACTTGAAAAAAATTCTTGAAATTAGTATATAACATGATAGTTTATTTCTACTGATTTTTTCTCTATCCTATAGTTCATGTAGCCATATCTTTATAATATTTCTAATTGACAATTATTACAAGAGATGTGTGAACAAAACGGAACAAAAATTATATTTAACTTACATCTTCTATGTCTTTGTCCAGAGCTACAATTCTTAGAGGAGTGGTCAAATTTAGACTGTCAGAAATGGTTGCTCCTACTGGGGCAGATTCCAGTATATAACCCTGATAACTGGGCATGGTGAAATAGGGGCTCTGATTATTTTCATCCAGTATTTCGATGTGTAGACTGGCAAAAGCAGGAAGAGGATGACCATTGTCTTGTTCAGCCTAAAAATAAAGAAAGAAAAGGCTAAATGTTATATGTTACGCTACCCTTCTGGAGTGTAACTTTTCAATCCATTGATATACATATGACTTCTCTTTCCAGTTATTATTACCATAGAAGGAAGAAAAGCTATAAGGAATCATTATAAAACGTAAATGAGAAAATACAAGTCCACAGAGACTTGGTCAATTGCTTGGTTGTCTGTCTTCAAACCCAAGGTACATTGAAAAATAAATCACTAAAATTAATTATTGCAATTGTTATTCTATAAGCAAGGAGAAGTGATACAGTTAGGCAGGAAAATAATAAGTACAGGTACTTGAATGAATTGCTGATAAAGTATGTAAACAAAAAAAGAAACAGAAAAAGATTTATAACCCAAATAAACTACTATACCTAATTTTTGTCTCTTCCATGTCTTCTCAATTCACATTAATGATTAGATCCTTCCTTTGGTGTGAGTGTGTCCCCGCCCCTTCCCCAATCTGTGTTTGCAATTCTAATCTTCAAGGTGGCAGTGTTAAATGGTGAAGCCCTTGGGAGGTTAAAAAGTCATAAGGGCAGAGCTTTTATGAAACGGATTATAAGAAAACCCAGAGAGCTCCTTCACTTCCCTTTCACCAAGTCAAAAGAGGGCACCACCAATGAGGAGGTGAGTCATCACCAGACCCAAATTGCTACAGCCTTGATCTTGGTCTTCCCACTCTCCTGAACTGTAAGAAATAGATCTCTGCTGTTTATAAGCTACCTAGTTTATGGTATTTTGTTATAGCAGTCCAGACAAAGATCGTCTCCTAATAATTTACAATTCTACATGAAATTATAGGTTAAAGATATATTTATTTCTCACTGGAGGTTCCCCCAAAACATCCTATCCTGTGAAGAACAGAGATAATTTCATCATAATTTTTCTTTCCTTCTTTCTTTCTTCCCCCTACCCATTGAGGGGGTGTATACTTGCCATTGTAAGACAGAAAGAGGGAAGGGGAGAGAGAAAAAGTGAGAAAGCACTTTTCATAGGGATTGGTCATGTCACAATCCCATCTTCTCCATCTCGCCTCAGGATTTTAGGCATGCGTGCACATGCACTCAGTAATGCTTTTCCAACTGCCAGTCCAGGATTTGAAGAGCACAGTCAGTCATGTGGAATCCAGCCACCTTAACCACCATATCATGGGCTGGCCCTGTAATTTTTTAATAGCTATGAAATTGCAAATATTACTTAACTAGAAATATGTTATTCCAATAAAATTAATAATCATGTGATTACGTGTGTGTGTGTGTGTGTGTGTGTGTGCATGTGTATAAATTTATATGATTGGTTTCTTGGGCTCTTATTCTCTCATTTTAGGTTTAAGAAATTGATGATAGTTTCCATTTCTAATAAATTTTCCTAAAAAATCTTCATGGTCTCTAGCCATGAATGGGAAAACACCAATCCTGAATTTTCTGGTTTTATTTAAAAATTATATTTTATAGGAACCAGAAAGTTTCATTTAAGGGAATATTTCATCACAATTAAATTCTAGAAAGTCTCCTCCAAATTTTAGGAGAAATCATCAATATAATTTAACACTGGGTTGTCAGAAAAGTCATAACATATTTTTTCTGTTTTTCTATGCAAAAATACGTCATGACTTTTGTGATAATCCATAGTTTATGTACTTATTGAAATGGATTCAAATTCATTGCCATTAATTTGCTTTTAGAGGTTTTTGCTGTAGGGCGCATGCACTCGCCAGAAAGACAGAAAGCAAGAAATCACCCTCCCAGGGGTGAATGGCCACACACAAGAGCTTCTCTTCCATTCTCCTCTCAGGATCTTGGGCATGCACGCACATGCACCCAGCATGAGTTTAAGCCAATGGATCTGAGATTTGAACCGTGATTGACTACATGAGAGTCCAGCAACTGGACTAATAGCCATTATGCCACCTGCTGGTACCAACTGCCATTAATTTTTATTGATATGTTTTAGAATTATTAGAATAGTTATGTTTTGAAATGAACTAAATGTGAAAGGAAAAATAGTTTATTTTTAAATCCTGGATTGCTTTGCTAGATAAAATAGTGACATTTTAGCTATGAAAGTTTATAAGTAGCCCAGATAGGTATCTCTAATTGATCCAGAGGCAAAAAGTTGGACCTCTAAAAATGAAGTTTCATTTTCTTCTAATTGTAATTTAACATTTTCATCAATTAAGTAAAGAGGTAACAAATCACTGTAATGATTTTCAGAACTGGGGGTTTTCACAAAGAAAAGTTCAAATACATTTTCATTTCACATTATTCATGTTGTTAATATGTTGAAATGTCGTTCATGCTAATTATTAATTTAGAATTATAATAAGCCCATAGTGAAACAATGTTACATCATGTATTGATGAAAAACTTGCATAAGTGTTTTAGTATTTTGTCCAATCTACTTAAATGTTAAATTTCCTTCGTAATATTAGTTAATTTTAAGCATTTAAATTCTCATTTAGCAGCAGAATGTTCATGGCGTAAAAATGTTTATGAACCCCTGCTCTGCACTAAGGAGAACAGTACTAGACTATCCCTGTCAGGAATTACATATTCTTCTTCACACGTAACTATGTGTGCTACTGACACCGTCAGTATAAATGAGATCTTTTCCCATCCAAGGGTTGTGATTTATTGGTGCTGAGCCATGGCTGTTCTTGGAGTGCCCTCTGTGACACACATCAGGTTTTCTGGAGACAAGTGACCAGGGCAGGAGGTGCAGTCTAGGATTAGACAACATTGTATTTTCACTGGGTGAAGCTAATTGGTCCATGTGGGTTTCCAACCCAATGACCTTGATCTGATTAAAGCAAGGATTCTCTGCCTGATTCTTGCAGGCTTTGAGTAGTTTGTACATGCAAATCATTCTGAACAGGTTTTTTTTTTCTCTGCCCTTATTTTATATATATTAATATTTACTCTGATAGCCATCACACTGCAGCCAGGACAAGCTGATAATGCTATGAAAAATTGCAAATTAAAAAAAAAAGTTGCAATTTTTTAAATTTATCCCCTTTCCCTGAAAACACACACACACACACACACACACACACACACACAATGTATAGGCTCTAAGGAGGAAAAACAATTCAAAATGATAAAATAGGTACTAAGGAGGAAAAACAATTCAAAATGATAAAATAATGAAAGAAGCTTGCATTTAACATTCAGATTATGTCATTAATTTTTACTGCCAGTTTGAAGCTAGTAAAAACAAATATCTGTGTGATGAAAACAAACTAATCCAATGGCAAGTGAAATAAAATTTAAATTAGATCTACTGAAACAATTTAATTCTTATTTTCTTCACATCTTTAAAAGTAACATGTAACACCTCTGCTTTTTTATTCTTCTATATATTTGTTGTTAATTAAGACTAGTATTTGTAGATTGCTACCACAAATTTTGTACTATTGAGATGTTTCAGATTGCTAATCAGGTATCTGTCTCCAAAGTCCACATTCTCTAGAGGTAAAAACATATAGTTCTGTATTCATGGAAAAACAGGTTAGTTTTCTATGAAAGAAACACAGCATATAAGAACTTGGACCCAGACTCAGTCTTCTGGTTAATAAGAGGTTACACAGGGAAATGCACCTTAAGTTGGTCATATACGACACAAATGTATATCCAAAGGCAAGATTGAGGGCTAAATGGTGACACAGTGGTGAAGACAACTGGAGACAACTTGGCCAACAGAGTGGTTCCAGTCCTGGACCCAGCGGCTTAAAAATCATACCAGATATGCACGATGTGTGTGTGTGTGTGTGTGTGTGTGTGTGTGTCCAAAATTCAGAGAAGACAATGGAGGAGAAGGGATTGCAGCATGACCATTCTCTCTGAGGAAGTGCTTTCCTCACATCTTTGCCTCTATCCCTGTCTGTCTCCAGTGAGCTCATGTGCCCTATAGGGGAAAAAAAAAAAGAGTAAACCTGGGAGGAATTAGTGGAAAGAAAGAATAAATTAGTGGAAGCAAAGAATATTAACATAAATACCTCTAAGTAAATGCTTCAATGCTCTCAGCCAATCTTCTTTTTTTCTGTACAATATAGTAAGAGTTCTAAAAAAGCTGATGTATTCTACTCACTATAATCAGTAGTGAATGATATGAGGAGTATGAAAAAGCAGATGAAGTAGAACAAGGCAGAATTTATAAATATAATTTAATTTCATAAAATAACCTTATTTGTATCTACAAAGTCTATGGTTACAAGTTAAACATTGTATTTAAAAGTCAAGTTTTGTCAGGAGAAATTCTGGGCAAGAGTCCCATTTTCAGTAATGAGATCAAAGTAAAACTATTGCCAAAAAAAACCCCTACAAGTATAAAAAGCACATTTTTAGTAACATTGGAGGGCAAAACATTGAAAAAGACAAACCACCCCATTTCCAATATTTGAAAGAAGCACACATTAATAATTTCTGAGCTCCTTGCTCCAGAGGACTGAGAATACAGAATAACTATTTTCCTGCGAGCTGGTGGCAAAAAAATGTAACAGATTTTATGATCTCTAATAAGAAAACTTTCAAGTAAATTTAATAATTATTTTTAAAAGACAATGGAAGAGATTATAAAGACATTAAATAAATTCTAGGAAAGAGAATTTCTTTCCAGAAAGTCAGGAATTATTTATTGTGTATCAGTGGAGCCTGTTTTGGGGATGTTTAGGTGTTCCATTTTTCTACTCACTCTTCCCAACTGTTAAACCTATTTCCATCAAGGTTTTTGCCCCCACCACTCAAATACAGCTGATTGTTTAAACATCACTGGTAACTTCCACATTACTAAAAGTAATTATTCATTTTTCAGCCATTGTTTTACTTGAACTATCTTCAGCATTAAAAAAGTATTCATCTTTCATAACAATATTGTTTTGTTTTGTTTTCTCCCATCTTCCTACCCATTTCTTATTCTACTTTGCTGATTTCTCCTTTCTAACTTCTTCATGCTGGAGTGGCCAATGAGTCAAGTCTTTGT